GCTTCTCCCTCTCCCACTCCCCCCGCTTGTGTTCCCTCTCTTGCTGTGTCTCTCTCTGTCAAATAAATAAATAAAATCTTAAAAAAAAAAAAAAAGAAATCTATAATAGAAAGATATCTAGAAAAGATCCTCCAAATATTTGGAAATTAAACAACACATTCCTAAATACACATGGTTGAAGAAGAAATCATAACAGAAACTGGAACTATTTTGAACTGAATAAAAGTGAAAATACAATATAAAACTTGTGGGATGTAGCTAAGGCAGTGCTTAGAGGGAAATTTATAGCATTGGATGCTATATGAGAAAAGAAGAAAGGTGTCAGATCAATATCTGAGTTTCAATTTTAAGAAACCAAAATAAGTAAAGGAAAGAAATAATAAGGATCTGAAATAAATGAAATAGGAATAGAAAAGCAATAGAGAAAATCAATGAAACCAAAAGATGGCTCTTGGAAATAACCGATAAAATTGATAATTAAATATACATTTACTATCTGACTCAGCAATTCCACTCAGATGTTCATTCAAGAGAAATTAAAGCACATGTCTATATTTGTACTCAAACATTTATAGCAGGTTTTACACATAATAGCCAAAACTTGGAAACAACCTAATGTCCCCTAATGAACAAATTGTAAATACCCATACAATGGTGTTTTGTGCTGAGTTGTGATCCCTCCAAATTCATATGTTGAAGCCCTAGCCTGCAATACCTCAGAAAAATGACTATATTTGGAGATAGGGTCTTTAAAGAGGTAATTAAGGTAAAATGAGGTCATTATGGTAAGTCATCATCCAATAGGGCTGGTGTCCTTATAAAAAAAAGGAAATTTGGGAGCCAGACATGTACAGAGAAAGACCATGTGAAGACACTGGGAGAAGGTACCTTCACAAACCAAGAAGAGAGGCCTCAGAAGAAACCAACCCTGCTGACATCCTGATCTTGAACTTCCAGAATTGAGACAATAAATTGCTATGGCAGCCCTTGTAACCTAATACAAATGGTATATTACTCAGCAATAAAAAGGAACAAACTACTGATTCACTTAAAGACATGAACTCAAAAGCATTATGCTAAGTGAAATTAGAAACCAAAGACTATGTGGGGCACCTAGCTGGTTCAGTTAGTAGAGCAACTCTTGATCTCAGGGCTGTGGGTTCGAGCCCCACATTGGGTGTAGAGATTACTTAAAAATAAAATCTTTTTAAAAAGAAACCAAAGACTACATACTATATATTTCCATAAGAAATTCTTAAAAAGACAAAATTGTGGTTGCCAAGGAGCAGGGGGAGAGGACAGACTGCAAAGGGGCATGAAGGAACTTTTTGGGTGATGGAAACATTCTAGTTTATGATTGTGGTGCTGGTCACACAACTGTACACATTTGCCAAAACTCATCAAATCCTCTACTTAAAATCAGAGGACTTTACTGTATATAAATTACACCTCAATAAATGTGATGCAAAAAACCCACTGGATTTCAGGGAGATGAGAAGGTGGGGGTGACGACACATGCTGAGAACATGCCCATAACTGAGGCATGCAGGAATGAAGCATAATGGTCATGGTGTTGGCAGAGGAAAGGAAAAACATGGGCAGAAACAAAGCTCCAGAGATGTCAGAATGTGGTGCTGGAGAAAGGGGACTATCAGAGGCTACATGGCTTCTGTGTGGGGGTGTCAACTGGGAAGGGCAGAGTAGGATCTGAGCCTTGCACAGGCCTGTCTGGGGATTATTCCCACTGGGAGAAGCCCATGTCCTGTGAATCTTCATTCTGTAGGATAGGAAACAAATTCCAGGGGGCAGGTATGGGAGTCAAATGCAGATGTGTGGTAATGAAACTAGTGGGGAAATCAGAACAGATTGTCTGGGATGTCCCAGGAGAGCAAAACACTTGACTGTGAGTCTGAGTGGGACTGCCAGGAGAGAAGAATACTCAGGAGAGGAGGACCAGTTACTCAAGGATCTAAGAAGCTGATCTTTTAGGAATAACACCTATGCACAAGAAGGATACCACCTTGAGGTAGTCAGTTACAAGCACACACACAGACACGCACATGTACTTTTTGCTGAATCATTTGAAGGTAAGTTGCAGACATCATGACATCTCACACTATGGGCTTCACCTTGTATATCCTAAGTATATTCTCTTATCCAATTACAGTGGGATCATCACACCCAAAAAATTCAATGCTGATAACATATGATCTAAGATAAATCCATTTTCAAATTTCCTCAATTGTCCCAAACTGCCTTTGAGTTTTTTGGACCTGTGGCCTGTCAAAGATCATGTACTACATTTGACTGTCATGTCTCTTGAGTTTATTATAGAATGACAGACCATTCTAACACATTACAGAAGCTAGGCACATCTCATAATGTTTTATAGTTATTTCTATTTTTCTGTAATCAGACCCCTTTCAAGTGGGAGGTTAACAGAATCACTAAATCCTGAGTCAAAGGGACCCTCAACCCTCCAGACTTTTTCACTACTGCAAACTCTCCTTATCAGCTGTACCCTTTTAAATACTGTGAGGGATGGGGGTGGTTTAGGTGGTAGAACAAAATGAGAAACAAGACCCAAAATCTGTGAAAGGAGGGATTTGGGCCCTACTTAGCTGCAGAAGTGGCCCCAAGGCCAATTCCTTATTGAGCTCCCAGATCCTCTAAAACTCCAGGTTCTTCCTTGACAGCCCCATTTCAGGGTCCCCGCACAGAGGAAAAGCACACAGGGATGCACCCCCTACCATCACTCTTACCCTGGTGCTGCAATGCAGCCTTCCTTCAGTGCTTTCACACCCCCCTACCTGATCCCATCCCAGAAAACTCCCCCAGATGAGGACCATCCCCTAGGCCTGCATGTGGAGATGACTGAAGTGATCTCATGTGAGCTGTCATCTACGTGCTCGGGTGCCACTAAAACCATTCCTCACAGCTCCTGGTATAGTGTTTCACAAACAGGTCCTGGGCAAACGACCCACCCATTGGGCTGAACGAGGCTGCAAGCGGCACTCATTTCAAGGGCACACCTGGACTCTGTTCAATTGGAGCTGTTCCCATGCCCAGAGCTTCCTGAGGAAGGGAGAGCAGGCCCCCAGGTTGGGGTGTGTGTGTGTGTGTGTCTTTGGATGACTGAAAATCCTGGGCAGGGGAAAAATGCCAACCCTCTTCATAAAGAAAGAGATGTTCAGAAGGAAGAAAAGACAACCACTCACCTCGGAACTGGCTTCCGGGAGACCCTGACCCAATTTATCCTCTGGATTCTTTTTGAGGGTAAGAGCAGGCTCCTGAGAGGGCAGAGCTGCGGAGGAGAAATGAGTCAAAGGGGCTGTTCTTCCCATAGCTACCAGGTGCATGGCTGAGCTAAAGCCCACTCCACCCCTGGCATGGGGGAGGATCAGAGGAGTCAGGAACCGTCCCCTGCAGGTGAGGTGGGGAGCGAGCCCCAATATCTGGCACAATCTGAAGGAAAAACTGCCATTCCCTTCCTCTTCAGCATGCCTGAGAAGTGGAAACAAACGGGTGTGCACGGTATGAATGCAGAAGGCCTGACTTTGTTAGGTGCTTCTGGGAAACTAGCCCGACCTCTCTGAGTGTCAGTCTCCTCAAGCGCAAGTCCACAGACCCACTGACTAGAAGAGCCAACTGTACCTGTCTCCTGGGGCTTCGGGGCAGGGGTCTCCATGGCGCCCCTCGGCAGCGTTCCCCGGAAGCGTGGGCAGCTCTGCAGCCTCCTGGGCCCCAGGCCAGGCCCAGAGGCGCGGGTCCTGCTCCTGGGGCTCAGGGACAGCCTGCAGGGGGGCCCCAGGGGGTCGCACACGCAGTCCCCGCTGCACGGTCACGCACGCGAAGTCCCCTGCGGACCCCCCACCGCCAAGGTCGGAGTCAGGCAGGCTCAGCAAGCGCCCCACACCCCAGGCTGAGCTCACGCCCCATCACCCCCGCCCCACGCAGCCCGTCACACACTCCGCCCGGGACACTGCGGGCCGGGACCAGGGCCGGCCTCAGGCTCAGCCGTCAGGAGCCAGGGGCCGCAGAGCGCGTCCGGCAGACAGGCCCCGCGGCGGACGGACAGACCGACCGACGGTCGGAAGGATGCGCGAGCAAGAGGACCGGCCTCCCACAAAAGCCCACCGACTGCCACAAAGGAGAAACCCGGCGACCGCTGCGGGCAAGTGCGCCTGCGCGGACGGGCGCGAACTACAACTTCCGGTAGTCTTTGCGTCGCGCTGGCGCGGACTCCATTTCCCAGAGGGCATCAGGGTCCCGGAGCAGCCTTTGCGCCCTGACGCAAACGGGCTTATAGCAGAGCCTTCTGGGAAATGTAGTTCCCGGCCCAGCGACCAAGGGCTCTGGCCCCGCCCCACTCTCCTTCCCACCCACTGCTGCAAAAGGCGCTTTTATCTCGGTGTGTGTGTGTTTATGTGGGGCGGTGTTTGTGTCTCATTGAGGGTGCGAGAGAGCGGTGCCCAGAAACGTGGAATTATCTTGTCAGTTCGTCCATGTCTTCGGGTGGGCTCCGACCCACATTCATCTTTGCGAAAAGACTCAGGCCTTTGGCCTTAGGGACCCTAGAGGTGGTGGGCGTGCACCTGGGACCCTGGAGGAGGGAGCGCTCCAGCCCATTTGTCAGGCCTCGTGGCTGCCCACCCTCAGGAGCTTGGGAAGGAGGGTCTGGGCTGTGGCGCAGCTCTGGCCCAGTGCTCTGACTTTTAACACAGTGATGACACCAATATTTATTGAGCACCAGCCACACGCTAGGAATGTTTCCTACCTGTAAAGGGCTTAACGTGTATTTTCTGGCAGAACATTCACAACAGCTCAGTGAGGTTTGGTAACTATTATTACCTTCGTTTTAGAGATGGAGAAAATTTGGCACAGCGTCCCAGGTCACACAGCCAGGAAAAGGTGGAGCCAGGCTTTGAACCCAGGTGAGTAACTCCAGAAGAAAGTTCATTAACAGCTTCCTACTGAGAGCTAGTTTGGGGTGGGGCAGAGGGGGTGCAGACTGGAAACTTTTCAGACCCCCACCTTGACTCCAGGTAGGCTTGGCCATAGGTTCTCACTTGATACCAGTGAGCTGTGCCCAGTGCAGGAACAGCGTTCAATAGCAACCCCAGGGCAGGAACCTGGGTGGTGTGGGACTGTGTGCACCTGAATCTCACAAATCTGGTTGTGAATCTGTGAGTATAGTGGTGAGTGGTTGTTGCATTACAGGGCTGGTTAATGTGTGAGTCCTTGTGTATGGGTGAACCTGTGTATGCATTTGTGTCTCTATGGGTCTTACAGATCTGGGTGAGTTTGTTTCAATCTGTGTGTGGCAGTGTGTACATGTCTTGTGCAGGTGAATCTGTAAACCTGTGTGTGTGTGTAGCTGTTCTCTCACAATTCTGGTTTGTGTCTGGGTGGGTATCACAGGTCCGGTATGACTGTGTGTGTGTGTGCTGTATATGTTCCCCTGTATGTCACTCAGTGTGTTTGTGTGTACCCACAGTGCTCATCAGTGTGTGCATCTTTGTGAATCTGTGCCCCTGTGTACATACTGATGTCATGGATCTGGTTGTGTGACTGTATGTAAATCAGTACAATCCCAGGAACTCTATATATTGAGTGCTCTGTCCACCCATATCTCTGCCTACCAGTCCTGAAAAGTAGTAAGACAGTAGCTACAGGGATGTGTCCAGCCTAATATAAGGAAGTGGATGGGAGGGTACAGCTACTACTCTAATACTAACTGTAGAATTCTGGAGCTGTGAAAGGCATTTAATTGAGAATAGGTAGTGTAAGACTCTCACTAGGTAAAGAGATGTCCTAGCTTACTTTCTGACTCCTTAGGGTCATCCATGTAAAATCCTGAGGGCTGATTAGCAGGGCCATGTGGAGTTCCAGAGAAATATGGGTATATATACCATTTTAAAAGTAAAAAGCTCACAATGTGTACAAATGTCAACTTAATATGTTACGTGCCTGGAACTAATATAATATTGTCTGTCAGTTATACCTCAATAATAAAAAAAAAAAGCACTTAAAATTGGAAGATTTTAAAGACCCAAACACATTAAAGACATTAATGTAATGTCTTATTACATTATTGTTTGGTGTTATAACCTAAATACCTGTTCCAAGTACCTGTACAGGTAGCTTGTATCAGACTAATCCTCTTGCCAATAATAGTTATAAGCTTGCACAGAGGAATAGATCTCAAGAAGATAATGGGCTGATGATACAGAGGCCAGAGTTTCAGGGCTTTCAGAATGGTTCTAAATTGAGAGGAAAAAATCCAGGAATTTGGAGAGAGCCAAATAGGGATAAGCCTCAAAATCTGCATAAAAATTCCCCTGAAATTCTTGAGTGACTCCTAAACTGCACACAACACCAAGGATGCTTTCCTCTAAGCATCATTTGGAAGGCTAAAAAGCTGAGTGGAGAGTTCAACAGAGTTTGGTAACTGTCACCAAGGGATTTATTAAATACCTGGAGCTTTCCATTGGAATCCCAGAAGGTGCAGGCCTTAGTGTAAAGATATAGCCCAATGTTAAGGACTATGTCTTAGGACTAAGGGCAAAACTAAAATAGACCTACCTTAAGAAAGCCTAAAACCAAGATCTCACAGGATCATTGTGAACAACTTAACTGCCTACCTGAATGAAACTCAACACTCTTTAAAGGAAGATAACAGAATCCAGAATCCTTTCACAGCATCATCCAATGGCCAATATAAAATAAATAAAAAATTACTAGACATGCAAAAAAGCAGGAAAGTAAGACCCATAGTCAAGGAAAAAAAAAATGTCTATGTAAAGAAACCCACAGGGGACTCAGATGAAGGAATTAACTAAGCATTTAACAAAACTATTATAATTATGTGAAAGAATTTACAAGAAAATATAGGTCAAACAAGTAAGTGGATGAAGAACCTCAGCAGAGGAACAGATTTTTAAAAAGAACCAAATTGAAAAATTCACTGATGAAAATGGGTCAGTAGAAATTATCCTAACTGAAATACAGAGAAAAACTGAAGTGGGAATAAAAAAGAAAGAAAGAAGAACAAATCATCTGAGATTTGTGGGACAGTGTGATCATGGTCCAACACAATAGCTCTTCAACTTTTTGGTCTTAGGAGCCCTTTATGCTCTTAAAATTACTGAGAACCCTAAAGGGTTTTTGCTTATGTGAGTCATATCTATCTATATTTACTGTGTTTGAAATTAAAACTGAGGAATTTTAGAAACATTTATTAATAAAATAACAATAAGCCAAATACATATTGTATTAGTTTCCCAGCACTGCTGTAGCAAAATACCATAAACTAAGTGGTTTAAACAACAGAAATATATTACCTCATTGTTCTGGAGGCTAGAAATCTGAGATCAAGGAGTCAGCAGGGCTTGTTCCTTCTGAGGATTAGAAGGAACAATCTGTTCAATGACTCTCCCATAGCTTCTGGTGGTTTGCTTCAATCTTTCTCATTTCTTGGCTTGTAGAAGCATCACTCCAGTCTGTGCCTTCATCTTCACATGGCATGCTTTCTGTGTGTGTGTGTGTGTCTCCAAATTTCCCCTTTCCTATAAGGACACTAGTAATATTGGATTGGGGCCCAACCTAAAGACCTCATTCATTATATTTTATTTTTTAAAAAGATTTATTTATTTATTTGAGAGAGGGCGAGGGAGACAGAGAATCTCCAGCA